GTAACATTTTCTACCAAGGAGCTTGGTCTGTAGCTTAATTAATACAGCATGGAATGTAAAAAAATTTTTGTTTACTTTCCACTATTTTTTCAGTTACTAGAAGACTAGATACTATGATAGAGATATCATGACATATTAATGTTAAACAGACCTGGTTTGAATCTAAGTCTTGCAATTTTTGGAGCTGCATGATCTTGAACACATTATTTAATGTCCTTAAACCTCAGTTTACTTATCTTTGGAGAGCGTATATTTATAGCTGTTTTGCAGGGCTCCTGTGAGTTCAGCAATTTCTGCCACATAGTGGGTATACAATATATCACAACTATTATGCTTGTAAATCTATTGGAATTGACCCTAAAATGTGACAACTGTATAGTGGTTGTATTTTATTGAAAGAATCTTTTCATTTAGAGACATACACTGGAACATTTACTGATGAAATTAAAAAAAAAAAACAACTATGGATTCATCGTAATTGGTTTCTCAGCCTCCATTCTTTATCTTATACAGCCTTACCTTCCTCCAGCTTCTAGATTTAGCTTCCTACATGCTGGTTGAAGTTTTTAAAAATTGATTTGCTTGTTTTATTATTATTATGTTTTCTGGCCTCTTTATAGATCGGATAAATGTTAATTAACAGATATGAGATTTGCAAGTATTTTCTCCTAGTATGTGGCTTATATTTTCATTTTCTTAACAGTATCATTTGAGAGTAGGCATTTTTAATTTTGACGAAGTCCAATTGATTATCTTTTGCTTTTATGTATTGTGTTTTTAGTTGGTGTCTAAGTAATCTATGCTTAACTTAAGGTTACAAGGATTTTATCTGTATTTTCTTCTAGCACTTTTATATTTTTAAGTTTTATATTTATTTCTGTGATCTATTTAAGAGTTCAGTTTTACATATGATACATATACATATTCAATTTTTACAGCACCATTTGTTAAAATACTATTCTTTCTTCACTGAAATGTCTTTGCACCTTTGTGAAAAATTAATTGACAGCAGATTTGTGGATCTATTTTTGTGCTCTCTGTTCTGTTCCATTGATCCACTTATGTATATTTATGGCAATTCCACTCTGTCTTGAGAACAGTAGCTTTATAACAAGCCTTGAAATGAAGTAGTGCAAGTCCTCCAACTTTATTCTTCTTTTTAAAAGTTGTTTTGGCTATTCTAAGGCTTTTGCATTTCCATATGGATTATAGAATCAGCTTTTCAATTTCTGTAAAAAGCCTGCTGTGATTGTGATTTGAATTACACTGAATCTATTGATCAAATTGGGGAGAAATGAAATCTTAATATTTAGTCTGTAGTCACATGGCAATGGTATACCACTCTATTTGTTAGATGTGAGTGCAAGAGATTTGTTTAACTTCTTTTTTTTCTCCCAAAATGTTTTTGCAGTTTTGGGGTATAATTCTTACACATCTCTTATCAGATTTACCCCTAAGTATTTCAGGTTTTTGATGCCATTGTAAATGCTATTTTTAAATTTTCATTTTCTGATTTGTAGTATATAAAAACCCAATTTAATTTTGCACATGTATCATATAGTCTGTAACCTTGCTAAATTCATATATTAGTTCTAGTAGCTTTCTTAAAGATTCTACAGTGTTTTCTGCAGAAACGATCACATCCTCTATGAATAAAGACAGTTGTCTCCTGGCAATCTGGGTTCCTTTTATTTTTTTATCTTGCCTCAATGCACTGACTAGGTCTCTAGTATAATATTAAACAGAAGTGATGAGAAAGGACATCTTTGTCATGCTCCTGAGCTTTGGGGAAGTATTCAGTTGTTCAACATCAACTATGTTGTTAGTCATAGGTTTTTCATATACTCTTTGTTAGACTGAGAAATTTCACTACCGTATTAGGCCCTTCTTGTGTCACTATAAAAATTACCTGAGAATGGGTAATTTATAAAGAAAAGAGGCTTAATTGGCTCATGGTTCTACAGATTTTACAGGAAGCATGATGCTGGCATCTGCTTGGCTTCTGGTGAGTCCATAACAATGCCTATAAAGAAATTTGTCTATTTCATTAAAATTGTTGAATTTTTAGCATACACTTAACCATAATATTCCTTTATTATTCTTTTAATATCTGTCAAATCTGTAGTGGTGTCACCTCATTCCAGATATTGCAATTTGTATCTTTTACACTTTTCTCCTCATCTGTTTGGGTACAGGTTTATCAATTACATTCATCTCAAAGAACAGATGCTGATTTTAGTGATATTTTCTATTTTCTATTTCACTAATTTCTGTTCAAACCTTTATTGTTTCCTCTTCTTCTTTTTGTCTTGTTTTGGGTCTGATTTGGTCTTTTTCCCACTAGTTTCTTCATGACCTTAATGAAAAGTAAGGTCTTTGACTTGATACTCTTCTTCTCTAATATAGGTGTTATATTGCTATACATTTTCCTCTATTACTGCTTTAGTGATATCCCACAAATACTGACATGTTTTGTTTCAACTTTTATTCAGTTGAAAATAATTTTGAATTTCTCTTTTGATTTCCTATTCATCAATGAGTTTTTAAAAATATTATACTTAGCTTTTATATTTTAGTGGATTTTCCAGATGTCTTTCAGTTGTTAATTTCTGAATTAGGTCCATTTTGGTCAGAAAACCTATGTGTGTTACTCACAGTTTTAAAATTTGCTAATCCTTTATTAATGTTTCAAAGTATGGTTTACTTTGGTAAATGTTCTATCTGCATTTGAAAAGTGTCTTTGCTGTTGTTGAATGGTACATTCTATATATATATATATATCTAGTAAATCAAATTAGTTAATAGTGTTGTTCAAGTCTTCTATATTCTTAGTGACATTCTATCTATATTTTCTTTCAGTTACTGGGAAAGGGGTGTTGAAAACTCCAAATGTAATTGTGGGTTTGTCAAAACCTCATTGAAGTTCTGTCTGTTTTTGCTTTATGTATTTTGAATCTCTATTAGCAGGACATAAACATTTAGGACAGTATGTCCTCTTGATGACTTAACTGCTGCTTCCTTATGAAATGACCCAGTTTGTCTCTGTTAGTAATATTTCCTCTGAAATCTATTTAGCCTGATATTAATATAGGCACTCCATCTTCTTTACTTTTGATTAGTCTTAGCATAGTATATATATTTTAATCCTTCTACTTTTAACCTAGTTAAGTCTTTATATTTAAAGCTTATCTCTTTTAGGCAACATATGGTTGGGTCTTGCTTTTTATATCCAATGTGAAAAATCTCTGCTTTTTGGTTGGTGGGGTTATACCACTTACATATAAAGGATTTTCGCTATTGTTGGGTTTTAAATTATCATCTTGCTACTTGTTTTCTATGTGTTTCAACTGACATTTATTCTCTTTTTTCCTATTTTTCTGCTTGTTTGTGAATTGAGTATTTTGTGATGATTTCATATCTTTTAATAGCTTATAGCTATAACTTGATAGGGGTGTGTGTGTTTATGTGTGTATTTAGTGGCTATGTTAGAGCTTTGAAGGCTCTTATGTCTTCTGTAGATCTGGTATCATTATTCTTTTGCCCAAAGTAATTCTTTTAAATATTTTGAAGTTCTAATCTTCTAGTGATTAATTATTTTACCTTTCACACATCTAAAATTATTTTTTAACTACATTTTTAAATGATGTCTTTGCTGGGCATAACATTCTACATTGCGAGCTTTTTTCTCTTAGTACTCCAAAGATGTTGTTCGACTATCTTCTGGCTTTGCATTTATTTTCTAATAAGAAACCTGCAGCTGTTCTTATCTTTGTTTTTCTATACATAATAGGTGTCTTTTCTCTGGATGCTTTTAAGATTTTTTAATCCCTGATTTTAAACAATTAAATTTTGAGGTACTCAGGTGTAGCTTCCCTTTAGGTTCGTACACTCAGGTTAGGTGAATTTCTTGGATCCATGGGTCTATAGTTTTCATCAAATTTGGGGAACTATTAGCCATGTTTGTTGATATATTTTTTCTGTTCCGTTCTCACTCATTGCCCTTTCGGGGACTCCAACTGTATATATATTATACTACTAAAGTTTGTCCCACAGGTCATGGATGATCTGTTCATTTTATTTTATTTTGGATAATTTTCACGGCTATGTTTTTGTGTTCCACTTAAAGGTCACTGTTTTTCTTCTGCAGTGTAGAAAATAGTTGATATATTTCTATGAAAAAAGAAATACTGTCTCCAGCTCACGCAGATCTCCATCAGAGTGTTGTGCGTAAGTAAAACACAGTACAAATTAGATCTTATCCTCCCTGACTCCTTCTCCTACAAATCTATATAAGGCTAGACCGTATTTTGGAGTACAGAAACAACACAAGTTTTTGTTGTGGCCCTGTGTATCCTATAGTCCATGAATAAAACACTGGACCTAAGCAGTTATATGGGGAAGGCTCAGAATTTTTAGGGAAAACACATTGGTTTTTAAAGCATTAAACTGTTCCAGAGCCTAGAAAAAGAATGAGAACTTCAAAATTACTGGTATGAAATGCACATATATTGATATCAAAGGCCCAAAATAAACCCATAGATGAACATACACTGAAACTACCAATGATTTCACGAACAAACATTAATGCAAAATCCAAAATAAAAGATCAGTAATAGTCCCTAGCAGCATACTAAAATAATATGCTATGAGCAAATGTGGCTTATCTCAAGCATGCAAGGCTGGTTCAATATTACAACATCTATTAATAATGATAATAGATTAGAAGAGGAAAACTATATGATCCTCCAAAAAGATGCTGAAATATATTTGATAGGATTCAACATTTATTCCTGACTAAAATAAACAAATGAACAAATTTAACAAAGTAAGAATAGATGGATATTGCAGAAGCATGATAATTACACCCTCATGTATCTTAACTCCCAAACCAACATAGTTTTTTTTTTTTAACAATAAATCATTCCAGTGAAAGTCGGGCACAAGATAAAAATTTCCCCTATAATCAATTATAGAACTAATTTTTTTTTTTTTTGAGTACAGAAACCTTTAATAAGGATTCAAGGTTTGCAAGGAAGACGCAGAAGGCCGGCGCTCAGCCCCAGCCTCCTCACTTGTACATGGCTCCATGGAGGTTCTCCAGTCGGTGCTGCTGCTGCTATTTTCGAGCCTTATTTCGTCTGTGTTCCTCATGGGTGTCATCATCAGTGGGCAGCTCGTGGCGGCACAAGGGACAAGAATTTGTCTTGCTTAGCCAGGGCAGAATGCAGCTGGAATGGAAAAGGTGATGGCAAGGCATCTCAATGGCAGTCTCCTCCTCCTCAAATGCCAAAAGACATGCAGGGCACTTGAGCTCAGCCTGAGAGCCTTTGATGACCGTCCTGGGGAGGTTCTCAACCACAGTCTTGGCAGCTGGTGGAGGCAGGTGGTGGTCCCAATCTACTACCAACCCCAAGTCTTCAAAGTCCATCCTATTGAAAAGTGACCTTGGTATAATTTCTATAATCAAAAAAATTCCCACTATGATAAAAAATAGAACAGTAAATTTGAGGTATAATAATTAGAAAGAATAATATAAGTGATTATATTTAGGATATATTGTTATATCCCTGGAAAACAATCACATAAAAATATTACAAGGAAAAGAAATCAGTAAGTTGATAAAATAATAAGACAATAGACTGTACATCTAAAAGTAACAAACAGGAAACACTGTGAAAGAGGAGTTGATTTCTAAAAGTTGGTTGGTGAAAATTAATTATAAAATAAGTTTATTGCTAAGAATTTTAAGTTGTATTTTCAGTAGCGACAGAAATAATAAAAATCTTTAAAAATAAACTTAAAAAGAAATGAGGAAGAGATAATAAAGAGCTTCAGAGAGCTGTGAAGAAACAAAAGAATGAAAAAAGGAAAAGCATGTTTTCTTGTAAGAAGACAGTATTAAAATTGCTAATCTTCATAAATTAATCTATTTACCTCAATCTCAATGAGTTTATAAACAAGAATTTGCAAGCATATTTAGTTTTAGAGCTAAATATGATAAGCTAAGGTTTACAAAAGAAAATTGCATTGGCAAGAATAATCAGCAAAATTTTAAGAAAAGTAACTAAGGAAGACTACATCAAATTATACTCTAAAATTAAAGCGATTAAGACAGAATAGTAATGACACTTGATACTAGTGAGCCTCACTTGTGGAGAAAAAAAAACCTATATACTGCTAGTGGGAGTATAAAAGCCTATATCTTTCATGAGGGGGAATATAGCAAAATCAATCAAAATTGTTAAAGCATATAGCTTTTGACCCAGCAACTCTACTACTAGATATTTATTCTACAAATATATTTCCACAGGTTTAAATAGTTTATAATCAAGACTATATTTCATAGTATTTTTTAAAATAGCAATGGACTAGCATTGGGAATTTCAGTGATGGTGGACTGGTTAAGTAATTTATTGTAAATTCATCTGATGGAATCCTAAATACCCATTTAAAAATATGATGCTATTTCATATGTAATCCTATAGCTAGCACACATTGTTAAGTGAAAAAAAAAAAAGACATAAAACATATGTATCGTATGCTGCAATTGTGAAAACAACGTAATTTGCATTGTTATCTATTGATATGTGACGATTATCCCTGGAAAAATACAGAAGAAAACAAGGAATAATTATTACCTCTGGTGCAGGGGACTGGGTGGTCCAAGGACTTCAACTGGAGATTAATTTATCACAGAAGATGTGTCTGCTTCTCTTGAGTTTTGTGACATATACATGTGTCAGGTATGTGAACCAGAGCAACCCCCTCTTTAATAGGAACTGGGTAAAATGAGGCTGAGACCTACTGGGCTGTATTCCCAGATGGCGAAGGCATTCTAAGTCACAGGATGAGATAGGAAGTTGGCACAAAATACATGCCATAAAGACCTTGCTAATAAAATAGGTCTCTGTAAAGAAGCCAGGTAAAATTCGCCAAAACCAAGAGAGCAAGGAGAGGGACCTCTGTCGTCCTCACTGCTACACTCCTACCAACACCATGACAGTTTACAAACTCCATGACAATGTCAGGAAGTTATCCTATATGGTTGAAAGGGGAGGCATGAATAATCCACTCCTTGTTTAAAATATCGTCAAGAAGTAACCATAAAAATGGGCAATGAGCAGTGCTCAGGGCTGCTCTGCCTATGGAGTAGCCATTCTTTATTCCTTTACTTTCTTAATAAACTTGCTTTCACTTTACTCTGTGGACTCGCCCTGAATTCTTTCTTGCAGGAGATACAAGAACTCTTTCTTGAAGACTGGATCGGGACCTCTTTCCTGTAACATGTGCATTACCTAAGTTAAAACATCATTATTTAATTAATAGACTAAAGAATAATCCACACAGTAGGCTAATTCATATTGTTTCTCATTTATCGTGTATCCTACAATATTATAAAGCAATGTGTATAAACTGCCTTGATATTTCCTCGATTTCTTTTTGGTATAAATGATCTTGTCATGCTCTATTCTGGACATGTGAGTTAACCTTTGTTCTCCAGGGAGAATTTGAGCTTTTGTTCCTTGACTCCACTAGCTTTGCTGAAGCTGCTTAACAGTAAGTTATGGAATCCAGCACATTGGCTAGTTTTCCTTAGGACAAATAGGTCTCACCAGAACCATTATATGTAAGCCAACCATCATTTGACGAAAGGCGTTTTAATATTAAACCTGTACACTGTAATGTAAGGCAAATTAAAATCTCAGAGTATTTTCATAGTCATTCAGTACTGATTTACAGTGTGTGCCTGTGGGATGCTGTACTGTCCACATTTGGAGTTGAGGCCCCTGTGGCTTTTAGAGTAAGGTCTCTCCTGAGTTGGAACACAAAACCAAGAGGAGCTCAGTTCTCAGGGGATGTCAGGGAACTCCCTCCTGCAGAATTAGAGGGAGATTGATTTCCACAATGGCAAAGTGTAAAGAAAAATTCTTTGGTTCCCTGAGAGAAGCCCCCAAAAGGAAGTAATTCACAAAACGGTAATTACCAATTAAATAGTAAACGTGCTACTTGGCCTGTAAGAAGAATTAAATATATTTACACTTCAAAAAGAAGCAATTAGTGGTAGTTGATTCACCAAGGAAAGTGCCAGTCCACGACAGAAGAGTGTAAATAGATGAAGACAGAGAGATTTATTATTAAAGTCCCTTAATTACTGTAAATGTTAAATATGCAGTTTTCTGACATTTAAATGATGCTTTTCACCAAAATGAAAATGAATTGTCCACCTTGGATCCTTGGATTCCGACTTCTTGGGCAGCATGTAAATGTCAGTCCTAAATTAAAGTTAACTAGTTTCTGCTATACATTTAAAAAATTAATTGGAATCAATAAATGATTTTCTTAGAAACTGAAGTCTTTAAAGTCTCTAGTCCAAACATTCAGCCAGTTCCCTAAAAGGAAGGAACTGTGGAATTTTCCCTTAGGTTTAAGTCAAGGGGAGACCTCTGTCTCCAAGGCATCATCTGTAAAGTCAAGAACAAACAGGGTGGCAAACCAGGAAGAGAACTACAGATTCCCAGCCATGGTTGGTACCTTTTAAATCTACTCCCTCTTTCCTGGCCTTTCAAGGCCCCCAAGTGATTGAAGATTCGTTCTGGTATTAGAAGCACATTTCTTTTTAGGATATAATAGAGCTGCCTATTATGAATGAAATACCTATTATGCCAAGAGCTTAATATATATGTCCTATTTCAGCCTCCTAAGAGCCGTCCAAAGTAAGTTTTATGATCATTATTTGACACAACCCAGACAGGATGGCTGACTTTCAGAGGTCAAGAGCCTTAGAGAGAGCTGGGATTCCAGCTTGGATCTCTCTGCCGCAACATCATACTGCCACCATTACAATGAAAAGAGAACAATAATAATACGCTTAAAAAATGTTTAATAATCTGCTCTGAATCATAACTCTAGAGAACAGTACAGTCATGTTACAATGTTTCTGGCTGTTTAGTCTCTTAACTTTTCCCAGAGATACTGGAAGGTTGTCACTATCTGCCTTAGTCAGTTCAGGCTACTAGAACCAAGTACCATAAACAAAGTGACTTATAAACAATAGAAATGTATTCTCACAGTTTTGGAGGGTGGAAGTTATATGTCAGGGTGTCATGATGGTTGCCTTCTGGTGAGGATCTTCTTTTGGGTTGCAAATGGCTCGCTTATTGCTGTTCCCTCACAGTGCAAAAGCTACAGAGCTCTCTGGGGTCCCTATTATAAGGGCACTAATCCTATTCAGGAGGGCTATACATTCATGACCTAATTACCTCCCAAAGGCCCAATTTTTAATACCATCACATGAGGGGCTAGGATTTCAGCATACAAATTTTGGGGGGCACAAATATTCAGTTCATAGCACTATCCATAAACAATTTCTTTGCTGCTTAAATTTGACAAGGTTGGTTTCTGTTTTTTACTGCTGAGCACCCTGAAAGCATGGATCAGTTTCTCCACTTCCAGCTTAAATTGTTCCATGTCTTCACTGAATACCACAAGTGCTTACAGCAATTCCACATATGTTCACTGAGTGCTAGGCGTTGTGCTGTGTGCTGTAAGGATCATGAACTCACTAACAGGAATCTTTCCAACTATTCTTCTCCTGAACTGGATATGAATGAAGAAGCAAGTATACAGTGATCATATATTTTGAAAACTCTGACTAATCCTTGCTCACCAGTATTCTTTTATAAAACCTTCACAGAGCCATTACATGCTAATGTGCAGTAGGAATCTTAAAAAGAAAGATAAAATGTAGGAATTTCATGTGACATGGAACTTCTTTTGTGAGAATAATATGTAATCAAACATATTAGGAAATTCTGGAATAAAAATAAAAACTATAAATGAAAAAGAAGAAAGAAATTATTTGAGAAAGTGTGATAAAGACAGTGGGAATTTAAACTGATGTGGGGAAAAGGTAAAAGACAGAAGACCAGTGGGAAATGAGCTGAACTCTGAGAAGGCAGATTAGTAAAGTCAAAAGTTTTTAAAAAATTGTTTCAACTCATTGTCACATGCAATACAGAGCAAAAATTCCCCAAATGAAATCTTACAAAGTGTTCTTAGATCATAGTGTATTGGAATCTCAATTTGCCTCATTTTAAATATAATATTTAATAAAATAGAAGAAGTAGCTTAATGCCACAGATTGGTCTCATATGGAAATCCACTGACCTCTGGAGTTTACAGCCAAGAAAGTCTACAAAGTGCCAGTCATCATCAAAAGCAAACTTACAAATCTTGTCTTTCACATAGTGCAACTACAATCGAGATATCATAGGCTATTCTGATCTGTCTACCTCAAGGAAGCAATGAAAAGCCAGAAATATTGAGAGAAAGCAACTAGAATTGTCGAGAGCATAGAGTAACTTTATATGAGACATGAATAAAATATATTTAGAGGAGAAAGAAAGTTTACATATTCATATTTATAAAACACTTGCTATTGTA